TGATCTCCATTCATTGGTTTCATATCTGTCAGAAAAAAATAATTTTTATTCTTTGCTTATTTTTTTTCATGTAATGTGAGCACTGAATTTCCTGAAACTTACTATTTATTTAAGATAATTTTTATAAATTGATTAGCATATCTTTTCAATCAGTCTCTAAGTGTCACCTTTATTTTACTTAAACACTTAAGTATAGTTTTAAATATACATGTATTTAGCCATTTCTAAAGTAAAATATCCCTAACACCTTTTCACATTCACTCTTGCCATTGGCTACATTGTAGCAGAAATTAGATGCGTACAACAGTACATGGAGTACATTTTCTGTAAATCCAGATGACCTTTGTTATGTCACTAAACTCTCTTTATATATATATATCATTAATTCGATTACACCACCATTCCCAGTTTGCCCCTGAAGAAGAAAGGTTCACCTTTCAAAAGTGCTCAGGTTATAGGGTTTTTATTCATTTCTATCAAGACATGAACCAACATGTTTTTCTAACATCATGAATAGAAATACTTTTGTCATTATTAGTAAGAACTATTCATATGTTGCTTGTTTTTAAGATTTCCCTTCACTGTTAAATGATTTAAAACTTAATTCTAGAAGCATAAGCAGAGTTACCAGTAACGGTTAACTGAAAACAGATAAATGTTGACTGGTGCATCTGTAAGATGAAGTTTGTTGACCTGTCTCTCTTCTTGCATTTGTTTCAGTCATTACTAAAGATGGGACTAGTATTTGATCAATTATTCAATCCAATCGGGTATTGCAATATCTGAGAAAATCTGTTCTGCTCAGATGTTCATTTTGCAATGAATCAGATAGCACAGTATTATGCAAGCATGATAGTAGTTGCATGGTAGTGACAGCAGTGATAAGCACAATTGAAACAACAGTCTTGAAGGAGGATCAGGGTGTAAAGCACTGTGTCATACTACAATGTGCCACATTCTCTTAAAGGGCCTGCCATGGCCTATCACATCCTTACTAAATCTTTAAACAGTGACATAGTAACTAGTTTAATACTGTACTATCATGAAGTGGCAGCTCATACTTGTCGTACATTTTCAGTATTATGGGCAAATCTACTATCCAATCTGAAAATATCTGAATTTTATCTGATATCAGGAACTGGATATCCAAAATTCAATATGTAATTAAAACTACTTTTTGTCCCATTCATAATTATTACTAACAACCGTAGGTCTAAAAATGTCTTCTCCAAAGTTCAATATGTGATTAAAGCTATTATTTGTCCCATCCATAGTTATTACTAACAATTGTAGATGTAAAGACGTTTTTTCTCCAAAGTTCAATATGTAGGTCTGAAGACGTATATCTTCTCCTTCAAGAAAAACCACTGGGCTAGGCTAATTAACCAAGGTTTTTCTTTATTTCAAAATGATACCTAATTTTTTTCTTTTATCAACTGTACATAACTTTGATTTTTTTTTGCTTGAGAGGACAATAATCCTAACTATTCTGTATTTAAGAACAGGTTCTTTAACTAATGTTATAGTTACCACCTTTTTTAATAAACTTTTATAGTTTTTATACTGTTTCTTACAATAAATATACTTGCTGACAATATTGGTACAGTCCTCTTCACTTCATTAAAAATTTTTTTAATTTTAAACAGTTATTTTATTAACATTCTTTTGTTTAGTTTGAAACAATTATTAATACTAGCAGAGACCCACAAAACATTTCTGGCCAAATTAGTATCTTTATCGTAACAGTACTTCTTTAGATATAACATTTCTAGCACA